TTTCTTTCTTTCTTTCTTTCTTTCTTTCTTTCTTTCTTTCTTTCTTTCTTTCTTTCTAATGTTTATTCATTTTTGAGAGAGAGAGAGAAAGAGCAGGGCAGGGGGAACAGACAGAGAGGGGTACAGAGGATCCGAAGCGGGCTCTGCACTGACAGCAGAGACCCTGGTGAGGGACTTGAACTCAAGAACCGCGACATCATGACTGAAGTCGGAAGCCTAACCAACTGAGCCACCCAGGTGCCTCCGTAGTTGCTTCATTTTTAAACTACAACGACAGACTACCACACACTGAAATTTCAAGATAGATTGCATTGCCATTAATTTTTTTTCTGGTGGCGAGACTCTTCTGCATCTAATGAATTTATAATAATTTGGAACGACCCGAGAGACTGTTCTGAGACGGTGACATCTCAAAGAGAATGAAAAAACAAGTGACAGACTTCTGAAACATTTTGCACGGAGCACTAAACTTGGGGCCTTCTCCAGAAGAGCAGGCGAATCAGTTTTACTTATGCAGAACTGAGAAAGGAGCGAGACAGGATATTCTGCTGGTCTTTTCTTCCCTGCTTAAATACATCTGTTACATGCTGTTTTTTATTTCAGGGTTGATGGATTGGTCGTGTGATGTACTTGGATTAAATACTTGGGCTAAAGCATCTCATATATTTGCCCATCAGCTTCACTCTGTGGCAGATTTACATTCCGTCTGGGGTGCCAGATTGAATTAAATGCTTCTTTAAAGCCTGCAGTCTGACAAAAGCCTTGCCCCAGTCAGCATTTTTACTGTATTAAAAAAATAAGCATCTGCAGGGAAATGATGCAGCCTACGGTTTCTTTTCTCGGGAAGAATCCAATTTGGCTCTTGGGGATGATGTTGTAATTGGTCAGAGAACTGAGGATCCTAACTGAGGCTGAAGCCTGGAGAAAGGTGGACAGTCCAGACTCCAGGTCCCCATCTGAACCATCCCGCCCCGCCTGTATCACGGGACGTCTGGTTGATGGAGTGGCTGAATACTGTTTTCGAGGGTATGTTTTGTGTAACCGGCACTTTGACACTTCTCTGCCATCCTGTGGGACCACACACCCTTCACCGTGTCTTAGGTTTGAAGGATTGTTTGCTCTCTTAATGTCTTGCCACCCAGTGTTCATGAGAAGGAAGCCCACAGGTGATGAGATGGCTGCTTTCGTGACTTAATATTTAGAGGACGGCTGGAAGGAGGTGGATTTTCGAAGCAAATCACCTGTGTAATTGTTCGCAGCCTGAGAATGGAGGCTAGGATAGGAATATCTACCCCTTAGGGTTGTGGCAACAGTTAACGCAGGTAAAAGCTGGTTAGTGCATGTGTTAGTTATCTATCGCTGTGTAACAAAACGCCCCCCTCACAACCCCCCCCACAAAAACTTAGCAGCTTAAAACAACAGGCATTACGTCAAAGTTTCTGTGGGTCAGGAATCTGGGCGTGGTTTAGGTGGGGGGTTCTGACTCAGGGTGTCTCATGAGGCTGCATTCAAGGTGGTGGCCAGCACCGTGGTCATCCAAGGGCTGGGTGGGAGTAGGTCTGCTAGGCTTACGCACATGGCTCTTGGCAGATCTCAGTTCCTTACATGGACCTCTCCATCCGTGCCTGGATGGCCTGAGCCAGCGACTCGAGAGGGAGAGAGAGAACAGCCTCTTGGTGGGTGAATGCTACAGTCTTTTTATAACGTAACCTTGAAAATTACATCCTGTCACTTCTTTTTCTAAATGTATTTATTTTGAAAAAGAGAGAGAGAAAGAGCGAGCGCACGAGCAGGGGAGGGGCAGAGAGAGAATCCCAAGCAGGCCCCGAGCTATCATTGCAGAGTCCGATGCTGGGCTCGGTCTCACGAACCCAGAGATCATGACCTGAGCCAAGATCAAGAGTCGGAGGCTTAACCGACTCAGCCACCCAGGTGTCCCAACGTCCTGTCACCTCTGCTCTATTTGCTGGAAGTGAATCACTCAGTTCCACTCACACTCAGCAGGAGGGGAATTAGTCCATCTCTCTGAGGATGTATCAAAGAGTTTGTGAAACTGTCTTTGAAACCACCACGGCACAGTTTTGGGGACGCAGTCAGTACTCAATAAATGACTAGAAGTTGGAATTGGTTTAGCAGACAAAGTCACGTCTTGGTGACAATTGGCTACGCCCTCACTTTCATCAGACCAAAGGACTTGGGGGCTCTACAGTGGATTGGAGATTACACCCAGGGAACCTCCACAAGAAAACGAGGATTTTTCTCTTTCCTTTTCTATCACTTGGGGAGGGAGGATGCTCCCAGAGATCTCCTCTCTTGTGCTGGATCAGTCAGTCCAAATACTGAAGGACAGGAATACACATCACTTAAAATTCCCTTCTCTAGACTGGGCATGTCTAGTCCCTTGACACTGGGTGCAGGGGCTTTTCAACTTGGGAGAGGGATAAAACCATGGGCACCCCCGGGACCAGGGGCAGAGCATGTCCCCTGGGAGGGTCACCACCCCCCCCATCCTCTCACCCCTAGCAATTTTAAATCCCAAAAGCAGAGATGATTTTTTATTTTTAAAAAAATGTTCGAGAGAGAGAGCATGAGAGAGAATCCCAGGCAGGCTCTGCATTGCCAGCTCAGAACCCAACGCGGGGCTCAATCCCGTGACCCGTGAAATGGCGACCTGCACTGAAATCGAGAGCCGGCTGCTTAACCAACTGAGCCACTCAGGCATCCCCCCATAGATGATTAAAAAGAAAGAAAGTATTTATTTCACTATAGAGCGTAACCACAAATTTGGACAAAAGAGAAAGGAAAAAAAAAAAAGCCTCCACAAGCCTAATACCACTATTGTTGACATTTTGTGATCTGTCCTTGTCAGAGTCTCCCCTGTGGGTGGCTTTCTAGTTTTATATAGTTCTAAGTAGTTCACAACTATAATTTCATGTCCTGCTTCTTTTCGCTGGACTTTGTCACACGTGTATCATTACCGCACCTCTGGGCGTTTTTGAGAGCCGCGTAGTATTTTGTTGGGTGAATGTCCATAGTTTGCTTGACTAGTCCTTTTTCTCACTGGCACAGAGCCCAACTCGGGGCTTGAACTCACAAACTGTGAGATCAGGATGTGAGCCGAGATTAGGAGTCGGGATGCTTAACTGACTGGAGCCACTCAGGCGCCTCTACCCCTTTGAGTCGCATTAATGAAATATGGCTGGGGTGGGGGTGGCTGGCTGTCTTGGTTGGTGGAGAGTAGGACGCTTGATCTTGGGGTTGTGAGTTCGAGCCCCCCATTGGGTGTAGGGATTACTTAAGAAAGAAAAAAAAAGAAAAAAGAAATTTCACCTGAAACTAATATTACACTATATGTTAACTAAGTGGAATTTAAGAAACTTAACTATGGGCTGGAAACGTCAAACCTTTTCCTCTGGGAAATCATTTCATGGCTTCTAAACTTGAGACAGTCCTTTCTTTTGTGATAGCACTGCTTCTCCACCTCCAGTTTTTGTGTGGCTTTTTTTTTCTTTTGTCTTTATTTTTGAGAGAGAGAAACAGTATGTGAGTGGGGTAGGGGCAGAGGGAGACAGAGGCAGAATCCGAAGCAGGCTCCAGGCTCTGAGCCGTCAGCACAGAGCCCGATGCGGGGCTCGAACCCACGAACCGTGAGATCATGACCTGAGCCGGACTTGGATACTTAACCAAATGAGCCACCCAGGTGCCCCCAATTTCTGTATGGCTTTTAAAAAATTCCTCAGGAATTAATTTCAAAGTATAGCATGAACTAGGGGTTTGAAATGAGATTTCTTTCCTTTTTAAATTTTTTTTTCAACGTTTATTTATTTTTGGGACAGAGAGAGACAGAGCATGAACGGGGGAGGGGCAGAGAGAGAGGGAGACACAGCATCGGAAACAGGCTCCAGGCTCTGAGCCATCAGCCCAGAGCCCGATGCGGGGCTCGAACTCACGGACCGCGAGATCGTGACCTGGCTGAAGTCGGACGCTTAACCGACTGCGCCACCCAGGCGCCCCTAAATTTTTTTTTTTTAACATTTATTTTTGAGACAGAGACAGCATGAACGGGGGAGGGTCAGAGAGAGAGGGAGACACAGAATCCGAAGCAGGCTCCAGGCTCCGAGCTGTCAGCACAGAGCCCCGTAGAACTCACGAACTGCGAGATCATGACCGGAGCCGAAGTTGGACGCTTAACCGACTGAGCCACCCAGGCGCCCCTATTTTCTTTTCCAAATTCCTTATCAGTTTTACAAGGAAAATACCAGGGAAGGCATCTCTAATCAGCTAACCCATGAAACCATGTCTTTTGAAACACAAACAAGGCTGGCTGAAATTCTGATGGAATTCACGATCTGGTGGATGATGGGAGAAAGCAGATGTCACACAGGCGTCAGTGAATTATTTGTTGAAGCACCCTGAACTTTTACTGGCACAAGGAGCTTAGCCGCCGTTGGTAACTGGTTAGGTGTGTGATGTGTGTGACCTTACAGGACAGTCTGAATTCAAGGATTTGTTTTACAAAACGTTTTGGAAAAGGGCAGCCAGGCTGACGGGCCCCGTATCTGGTTTACACGTAATTTGTATGAACTATAGTGAACCCAGCCCCCTGGGGTTAGAGAGAGATCCTTAGATGGCTCAGCCCTGGACAAATGATGCCAAGTATCGTCCCAAGGAAGTACCTCCCCTCCAGGCTCAGATTGCCGAGTGTCACTACTGTAACTGCACGACTGGAGGGAGAGGGGTCTGCAGACAAGCAGCGGGCCCGGGGGCGGAGGCTGAGGGAGGAAGAGGATGTTCCCAGAAAAGGGCCCTGGATCCAGAAAGCCTGTGTCCCTTGAATTCTGAACACATACGTGGACAGTAAGAACCAGTGAAGAAGCAATCATTTAGGGTCCTGAGCTTTGAAAAATCACCATGATTATTTTATGTACAAATGCTTTCCTTTCCATGATCTACTCCTAAATGGGACGAAAATGCCTGACAGGAGTGTAGGAAGGGAGCAGACTTCTGGGGAGGAAGAAGAGCGAGAAGAGGTAAGAGAACCAGAAAGTAATCGCATTGTTGTTATTGTACAAATGCAGTTGGAAATGCCTCCTTGCTGAGCCAGGCTCCATACAAACAGCAGGTGAATCACCTCGGAAAGAATCCTCTCTGAAAGATAGCATGGTGACAGTTTTACAAAACGTGCTCGGGCAGGCCAGAGGCAGAGCGTTGTTCGGGATGCCAGAGGGCAAGGGCATGGTGCCGAGCAGGAGGTAAGAGAAGAGAACGCAGAGGTTGAAGATTAAGTCGGGGAGTGCAGTCTTGGGGCGGGCGCAGCTCTGAGTACAGCTGCTCAGGGAGAAACCTGTTTAGATAAGGTGGCTTGGCAGGAGCTGTCCCGTCTCTGCCTGGTGACAGCGGCTGGGCCTAAGATGATAAACTGGGCTGGCCCCCCTGGGTTCTGGGAACAGAGGCCGGGGCAGGGAGAGGCAGTGGCGAGGTGGGCACGGTGGAGGCCTCAGGGCCACCCCAGACAGGGGCTTGTGGGAGTCACCTACCGCTTGTGGGAGTCTCTGGGCCGATATCTTCAAGGGTGACAGTCCCACCTGCCTGAGATGGTTGAGGACAATAGAACGTCTGCTTTATAAAGTGCCTGCCACAAACCCTTAGGAAGATGAGGACAGTTCCGCCTGTGACACGATCTGCAGGCGGGATCCTGGTTCATCTGAAGAGAAGACCAGAAGGAAATGGAACCGCGGGGTGCTTGATGGGGACAGAACTGAGCCAGCCTGGTGCTCAAGGACAGTCCACTTGCGGACGGGCCTGGCTGTGGGAGGCGACCCCGCCTCCCAGGCACCAGACCGGAGGGGAGACCACTGGCTGGCCTCCCTCAGCCTTGACATGCCCCCTGCGTGTTCTCTTGGTCACTGTGACAATATGAGTGGTCTTCGGCAACCACAATGGTGGGACAGAGGCGCAGCTGTGGGCCTGGGTGGGAGAAGGCTGGCTGTCACAACTCTTCCTTGTTGCTGTCGTGGGGCTGGAGCAGCGGAGGCCCTGGGGCCAGGGGGCCACCCTCGGGCCCCTGGGCCCCGTCCTCGCGGCGCCTGCCCACGGTGGCATAGCCCTGCGGGAACCTGCGCTCCTCTCCGTGCCGCCGGAGGCTCTCAGTTCCCACGAGCCCCTGCGTTCTCAGGTACCCCTGCTGGCAGAAGGGAGGCAGCTTCTGGTGTGTTAGGGCAAACAGGAAGCAGGACTCTACACAGAAGCAAAAGGAGATAAATGAATAAGATGGAAGAGGAGGAGGGGCTGCCGACGTCCCGGGGCCTCACCCAGGCCTTGAGCTGGGAGCTCACTTTTGTGGGTACCTCCCATCCGATCTGAATAGCCACGGATCTTGTCCCTCCCCGAGGTTCCAAGAATAGGAGGCTTCCCGGACATTCTGGAAGAACAAGGCTCCAAATGGAAAGCAAAAACCACAGATATGACTCAGCTCCCAGGGGTCTGGGCCCAACATGGTGCTCTGCAGGGAGCCAGCCCCAGCTGGGAGCTCAGCCACCCTGAAGCAGACCCCTCAGCCTTTTCTTCTAGAAGCTGGCCTGGCTGGGGCCAGGAGCTGGGTGGTCAGTCCTATTCGGAGCTCAGAGCTGCCTGCGAGGATTTATCCACCTCAGCAATGTCTGGGTTGCACATACCGTGTGTAAAGCACTGTGCGAAGCACTGTGTTCTAAGCACCATGCAGGGCGGGCAGAGGAAACTGGTAAACCCTCGTCTGTACCACAGCAGAGAGTTGGCACACAGATCCAGTCTGCTCTATCAGGAAACAGCTGTGGATGTTTATGATTCAGAGATATGAAGAAACCACCAGAAGAGCAAGAAGCAGTTCCTTCTGGGGAACGAGGGTGTAAGTGAGAAGTCTTTTAGCTAAGCGCTTATATAACTTTCACTTACAAAACAGAAAAGATGAAACAGATAGGGGCTCAGTCTTCTCAGGGATTTAGAGACAAGATGAGATGGAGCAAATGTCCAAAACTGTCTTGAGGCTTACATCTCAAAAACAAAAAACAACCCCCTCCCTCCCCCCTCCCCCGACCCCGCCCCCCCCAAACAGGCACGTTACAAAGGACGTTGTGAGGCTTACATGGGTGAACAGGCTGTAGGGAGCTACACGGATAGTATTTCCTATTTTATTTCTGACTTATGCACGGACGGCCCATGGGAGAACGGTCCTGAGCAGGGAAGACCGCAGGTGCAGGGGAGGACGGCGGAGCGGCAGACTTTTGGCAAACACCACCTTCCGGTGACATACGTCACCCCTTCTGCAGGGGCCAGGGGGTGGAGGAGCCCAGCAGAATCTGGGGCCAAAGCTAGCAGCTGCACATCAGCTAAGGGGGTGGAGGAGAGCCCGCTTCCCTGCCAGCTGGCCCCGAGGCGGGAGGACTCTTCCAAGGTGAAGGCAGTGACGCTCAGTGGCTTGCAGTGCTGAGCGGGATCTGGGGGGTGGGAGCCAGGAGGCTGCAAGGCCCGGAAGAGGCACTGTGGTGGCCGTGCCCCAGGGTGGGATACACTCCCTAACAGGCACGGTCGTCTTCGTGTACTCCCGAAACCTCGAGAAACAGGCAGGGATCTTTAGATCTTTAGATCGCTGAGATCTTTAGACCCGTATCACGTAATTTCCCGTGCAAGCGTGTGGTCACGGTTGATAGTCTGCGGATGCCAGCCCTTCAAAACTGCTTAGCCCTGTGTTACGAATTACCTCTGAGCATCTACGTATATTTAGACTATGAATTTAAACTATTGTTTCAAGCCATCCCTCTCTTTAAAAAAATTTTTTTTAATGTTTATTTTTGAGAGAGAGAGAGAGAGAGAGAGAGAGAGAGAGAGACAGACAGACTGTGAGTGGGGGGCGGGCAGAGAGAGAGGGAGATACAGAATCTGAAGCAGGCTCCAGGCTCTGAGCTGTCAGCACAGAGCCCAATGCGGGGCTGGAACTCATGAACTGTGAGATCATGACCTGAGCTGAAGTTGGATGCTTAACCGACTAAGCCACCAGGCGCCCCAAGCCATCTCTCTTAATATACGCATTTTTATTTCAAAGTTGACTGAGGCTGTTGAGAGGATACCGGCCATCTCTAACCTGATTTGATAGCAATAGTGCCTGATATACAACTGATGTTCAAAAGACGTTTGCTGAACACAAAAGAGTGGATGTCCTAGGCATTCGGGGGGTTTAAAAAAAGACAAAAATTCGGCTTGTTTCAATTAGTTCTCCCTCTGGATCATCAGACTTCTGTCAATGCTATCTTCCAGTTCACCAATTCTCTCTTCACCTCTGTCTAAAGTGCTACTTTATGTTTTGGTTGAGTTTCTAATTACACATTTTTTTCACTTCCAGAAGTCTTACTCGGATCTTTCTGAAAGCTGACCAGTCAATTATATTTTTAAGAATCTGTTTGTTTCCTTATATGTTTAATTTTTTAAAATTTATCTTAAAGTTTATCTATTTTGAGAGGGTGCGAGTGAGTGCACATGCATGAACAGGGGAGGGGCAGAGAGAGACAGAGAGAGTCCTAAGCAGGCTCCACGCTGCCAGTGCAGAGTCTGACTTGGGGCTCAAACTCCCCAACTGTGAGATCACGACCTGAGCTGAAATCAAGAGTCAGATGCTTAACTGACTGAGCCACCCAGGCGCTCCATTTTTCTTACATATTTTAGACAGACTTTGTCTCCTCTGTTTGTAACTCTTCCAATTCCCACAGTTTTTTTGGTTTGATCCCACAGTTTGTTTTTTCTACTGACGCTCCCTCGTGTCACATATTTGTGCCCTTATATGTTAAGTGCTTTTTGCTTGGTGGGGGAGGGACACGGGTTCACCTTAACCTGGAGCTTCATCTGTGGGAATGTTTTTTGAGCCCTAGTTTTAAAGTGTGTTTCTTCACAGAAGACTTGCATTTACTTCTGTGATTTTTGCACACCGATGGTGTGAAGTTTGGCCCCAAACTCACATGAGCGAGGCTTAGGGGTTAGAAACTCTCAGGAGAGGGGCGCCTGGGTGGCTCAGTCGGTTGAGCGTCTGACTTCGGCTCAGGTCATGATCTCACGGTCCGTGAGTTTCAGCCCCGCATCAGGCTCTGTGCTGACAGCTCAGAGCCTGGAGCCTGCTTCGGATTCTGTGTCTCCCTCTCTCTCTGACCCTCCCCCGCTCATGCTCTTGTCTCTCTCTGTCAAAAATAAATAAAACATTAAAAAAAAATTAAAAAAAAAAAAGAAATTCTCAGGAGAGATTCTCCCTTACTCTACCCAGAGCCCAAAAGCATGAGTCTCCATCATCTTCTCTTGGGAGTGTTTTGTGCCTCCTAGTGGATCCACTGAGATCCAAGCTTATGTGAGAGTCTCTAAACAGACCTCCTACCCTGCTGCTTTACCTTCCCACCCGCAAGTGCTGTCAGTTACCCGGGCTCTAGGCTACTGATGATTGGTGACAGACCATGTCCAGCAATGGCCTTATGCTTTTCCTAGCATCCGGCCTCTGGAGAGTTCCCTTTTTTTCCTGCCGGTTCTTTAAAAGTGACATTTGGGGCTCAGTCAGTTGAGCGTCTCTTGATTTCAGCTCAGGTCATGATCCCAAGGTCATGGGATTGAGCCCCGCATCAGGTTCCACGCTGAGCACAGAGCCTGCTTGGGATTCTCTCTCGCTCTTTCTCCCTCCCTCTGCCCCTCTCCCCCTCTCCCCAGCTTTCTCTCTCTCTAAAATAAATAAAATGAGGGGCGCCTGGGTGGCGCAGTCGGTTAAGCGTCCGACTTCAGCCAGGTCACGATCTCGCGGTCCGTGAGTTCGAGCCCCGCGTCAGGCTCTGGGCTGATCGCTCGGAGCCTGGAGCCTGTTTCAGATTCTGTGTCTCCCTCTCTCTCTGCCCCTCCCCCATTCATGCTCTGTCTCTCTCTGTCCCAAAAATAAAAAATAAAAACGTTGAAGAAAAAAAAATATATAAAATAAAATAAATAAAATGAAAAAAAAATTAAACAAAAATGACATTCAATACAGCAACTTCAGGTGTGCTGTCCTGGGAGAGATTTCTGCAGACATCTAGTCTACGCCGTGGATAACCGAATTCTCAAGTTTAGATTTCTAGATGTGAATCCTGAAACCTCAGGGGAAACGGATCTACCTGGCCTTCTTTCAACCTCCAGCTCACTGACTCTGTCCTTCTAGGAACTTAAGTTACCTGCATAGAAGCTTCGCAGATCGGTGTCCAAACAGTTCTCCAGGAAGCGCCTCAGAGGTAAGATGTGCCCCACCGGGGCGGTCCAGTCCGTCAAGAAATCTTCCACGATGTGGTGGATGGCTGTGGGCCGAGGCAGGGCCCAGTCGGCAGGGCGGAACCTCACCTCCTGCTCTGTGGGGACGAGAGGGGAGACGGGTCAGGGCCCGGCAGGCTCCCATCCCGGAGCTGACAGCGTGGTTCCCACACATCCCAGGTGCTTCCCGCGCTCCCTCACGCTCGGCTCGCCGGCCACACTCTGCGCTGGGCAGCGGCCGGCCTGTTCAACAGCCATCTCTGTGTTTGCAAGGTTGGCACGAGGGAGGGACTGGATCTGTTCCTTGTGGTATCGGAAAGCGGAACCAAGACTAATTACTTGCACTTGGTGTTTTTCTAAGACACGCATGGACTGAGGGCCACGGTGATTGCTTCAGAACTGCTCTTTCTCTGAGGAGACTCGGAGGCCCCGCGAGAAGGGTCTGGGAGCTCATCTAGTCCAACTTCCCACCTGGTGTGGACTCCCTTCAGTGGTGTCCTAGGCAGACGGCCATTAAGTCACAACTCGACCATCCTCATACTGGGAAACTCGATGTCTGGGGGCGACCCATTCCACTGCTGGACAGCTTTGAGTAGGAGTCACTCCTGATTCTGAATAGAAGCCTGTGCTCCTGTCACTTTGACCTGCTGATACTACCTCTGCCTGTTTTTAGAATACCTCTTCCCAGGGACAGCTCTTTAGTTTCCGAAGCAGGAATCACATTCCCCAGCGGGGAGGGGAGTTCATCTGTTGGTAGCTACTCTGTGCCAAGCACCGTGCTGATATTCTGTGTTTTCAGTTTTTGTTTTAAAGACTTTATCTTATTAAAAAAATTTTTTGTTTTTACATTTACTTATTTTTGAGAGAGACAGAGAGACAGAGCATGAGCAGGGGAGGGGCAGGCAGAGACACACACAGACACACACACACACACACACACACACACACACACACACACACAGAATCGAAAGCAGGCTCCAGGCTTTGAGCTGTCAGCACAGAGTCCGATGCAGGGACTGAACCCATGAACTGTGGGATCATGACCTGACCTGAAGTCGGATGCTTAACTGACTGAGCCACTTGGGTGCCCCAAGACTTTGTTTAAAAAAAAATTTTTTTAATGTTTATTTTTGAGAGAGAGAGACAAAGCATGGGCAGGGGAGGGGTAGAGAGAGTGAGAGAGTAAGAGAGAGCGAGAGATTGAGACAGACACAGAATCTGAAACAGGCTCCAGGCTCTGAGCTGTCAGCACAGAGCCCGACACAGGGCTCGAACTCATGAGGTGTGAGATCATTGGCCTGAACCGAAGTCGGACGCTTAACCGACTGAGACACCCAAGCGCCCCTATTTTATTTTTAAGTAATCTCTATGCTCAGTGGGGGGGCTTGAACTCACAACCTCAAGATCAAGAGTCGGATGCTCTACTGAGTGAGCCAGCCGGGTGCCCCACATTCTGTGGTTTTTTTTTTTTTTTTTTAATCTCGTTTATCTTCACACAATTCTATTGTTAGCCCCACTTTACAAATGAGGAAGCGGAGGCTCAGAGAGTGTAGGTAACGGTCCAAGGCCACACAGCAAGGAAAGGGCAGCCTGGGAACGCTGCCCGGCTTTTCCGCGCTTTTTATGCTGCACGCCTGTGTTAATCACGTCCAGCTCCTTTCCCTGCGCCCTCTGAGAGTCAGTCTCCAGGTCCCCTCCCCCTCCACGCTCAGCCTCCCTTGGAGACACAGAACAAGACCGTGGCGCCTGGAGGAGATCACGACACTCCACGTGTGACCTGCCCAGGTCACGGTACGCACCAGAACCTGGGAACGTCGTTTCTCATTCGTGGACCCTGTGCCTCGTTTGCTCTGTGGGCGGAGTCCCCAGTGCCCTCCCCGCCCCGTGTCCTCCTGTCAGCTGAAAGTGTTGTGTGAGGGCTTAGTGGTGACAAGGTAACGGGCAGCGGGGGCCGAGCGGTGTCGGGGGACAGCAGAGGTCTGGCTCACCAGTGGGGAGGTGCCTGTAGTAGTAGATGACGGGGTGGAGGAAGTTGGACTGCCACGCGTCTTCCGTGTGCCCCACGGACCGGTCATGAAAGAAGACGTCCTTGTCGGGCCCAGAGAAATTTCTGCCATACTCCATGTTGATGACGAAGAGCCCGTGCCTGGCCCTCCTTCCTGTGATGGTCTCCAGCTGGGCCAGCATCTGCACGGGGAGCTCCTCCAGGTACTCAAACGCCGTGGCGTTCCTGGGGATAAGGGCAGCGTGGGTGGCCAAGACCCTCAGTGCCGCGGCAGAGGTGGGGTGGGCGTGCGCGTGTGCCTCTCGTGCAATTGTCTACGGGCTCCGATTGTTCTGCACACACCTCACTTGAGCCTTACTATCACAGCTGAACCCCGACTTACACGGGAGACAGATTCCAGAAAACTCTGAGTAACCTGAAAGGTATCTGGGGAAAGGGTGACCCGGGCTGAGAGGCCAGTCACGGAAAAGCCCCGGGAGGGAGCCTGGGTGTCTTCGAGGGATGGGAGGCAGGCCGGCCTCGAGCGGAGGGGCAGGAGAAGGGCTGGGGGCAGGTCGAGGAGGGCTTGTGGGTGCCACGACGGGAACGCTCGGTTTCACGTGGGTTCTCCCACTCGCTTTCTCCCTGAGAAGGGAAGGCCACCGGCCCCTGGAGAGTGCTGTGCAGAGATGAACGTGTGTGACTCGGGTTTTAAGAGGACCGCCCGGCCGCTGTGTTGAAAGCAGACCATGGGCAGAGGTGCGAGGCTGTAGGTGGTTCAGGTGAGAGATGCTGGGGGGCTGGACCAAGGCGGTGCCACCGGGGTGGGTGAGGGGTGGTCAGATTCCTGACAGAATTTGAAGGCAGCGCTTACGGGGTGTGGGGCGGGTCGGAGTGTGGAGAGTGAATACGGAAGAGAGGAGTCAGGGTGCGGGGTGTCTTGTGCTGAGGACGGGCGAATTCCTCGCGTGTCCTTGAACTTGGCGAGCTGTCGCCCTCCCTGGCTTTGGGTCAGGCTGCTCCCTCTGAGAGATGCCCCCTGCGTCTGACCTGTCCTCTGAGCACCCTTCTCCATCCCTGCTCTGCGTTTGTCATCTGTGATCTGCCACCTGTCACTTAACCGATAAGGAGACAACACGGTCCTGGCCTGAGGGAGACCCTTCATCCGCATTGCTGCGGTTTACTGCTCATCTGCTCAGTGCCAAGTGCGGTCTACCAGTTACCTTTACTCCTGCCTGCAACGTAAGGGTTATTATCCCCATTCCGCAGATGCGAGAAAGGCTCAGAGAGGCTAAGTGACTTGCCCAAGGTCACACAGGCAGAAAGCGGCAGAGCTGGGAGGCACACCCAGGTCCGTCTGTCTGTCGAGCTTGTGGTGTTGATTTCATTGATTTCCACCCCCCACCCTGCCCCCGCCCCCTGAAGGCTTCACTTAGGAGGGAACCACTGGGCCACTCCATGCCGGGGATAGGCAGAGAAGAGCTCCGACCCGTGAATGGTGGAGCTGGGCTACTCACTCCTTCAGCAGGACGACATCGGCCAGCACGCCGAACATCTGGTAGAGCCCAGAAGCCTCGTTGATGCGCCGGACTATGGAGCTCGTCAGCTGTGAGACGGGGTGCTCAGTGGAGGGCCAGGCGATGCCGTGGTGGCGATGCTCCAGCAGGCGGTGGACGGCACGCGCTGAAATGGCCAGAGGGAGGAACAGCATGCCATACTTCAGATTTCATCTTTCACCACCCTGAGGGATGCACGGCCCCTGTCAACCTCTTGGGGCTCAATAACGCTTGTGTGCGGGGCTCCAAAATGCCTCTGGCGGGGCGCCTGGGTGGCTCAGTCGGTTAAGCATCCGAGTGTTGACTTCGGCTCACGTCACGATCCCACAGTTTGTGAGTCCGAAGGCCGTGCTGGGCTCCGTGCTGGCAACTTGGAGCCTGCTTGGGATTCTCTCCATCTCCTCTCTTGCTGGCCCTCCCCAGTTCTTACTCTGTCTCTCAAAATAAATAAACTTAAAAAAAAAAAAAAAAAAAAAGAACATGCCTTTGGAGCAGAGTCAGTCAAGGTTTCCAACCAAGGGCCAGATGGGCCGTATTTTGGGCTCTACAGCCCGGTCGGCTGCACTACTCAGTTCTGCTTCCAGCGTGAAAACAGCCCGAGTGGGTACCTGAATGGATGGGAGTGGCTGGATCCGGCTCCAGGCCAGAGTGGGCCCGGCCCCGCTTTAGGCCCCCTGCACGTGGATGTCCCACGCTACCCCTCACAGGTGCTAGGTCAACCCCGGACCCTGAGCCTCCCTCTGAGCCCGCTCCCCTTCCCGGGGTTTTGTTCCCCTCAGAGACTCCCAGCTGGGAAACCTTTCAGTGCCTCCCGTCCTCCAGAGTCTAAATCCAAGCTGTCCCTAAATTCTACTGATGGAAGGACAGCACAGTGACAGCTCTCTGCAATGACAGGGAGATGTTCTGCCGCATATCTGGGGCTGCCGTGCAGTTGTGGGATCGGGCTTGCTCTTCCAAAACACATCAACACGATATCCAAATCCGAGAAAGGCAAGAACACAGACAGACCACTCGCGTGACGGGAGACTCAGCCGGCCAACAGTCACAGTCACGGGAGACGCTGTCCGGCCTCCCCAGATACCCGACTCTGGAGGAAATGATGGCTAAGCGGAGTTTTGCACAAGGTCGAGGAACCGCGCAGCCAGTGGGGTCTGGGGAGGGTGCCACAATCTTGGGAGAGCCTGGCACGTTCTGAAAAGCAGGCAAGGGACCAGGCTGGAAAGGTGAGCTGGCAGGGGCCTGGCAAAGCTTGGAGCGGCATGCCAAGGAGCTGGAGCCTTCGCCGGGGGAGGAGGGGAGCCACTAAGAGCGGCTTAAGCTGTAAGCAGGGGAAAGAGAAGATTTTTTTGTTTGTTTATAGAAAGGGTGTTTTGGCAGGCAGCTGGAAGAGATACAGGAGGGGGCCGGGCCGGGCGTCTGGCCTGTCCTTCCGTGTGGTATTGGTCTGTGCCGTTCACGTTTTATCTTCTGTTGCTTTCCTCTGCCTTACTGTTTGCTTCTGGTCTCCCGTGGGACCCGTTTCTCGGGTCTGAGCAGGATGTGTGGGCCACGTCACCCCTCCCCCAGCAGGATCCTCAGCCGGTAGTAGTGACCACACAGCAACCCAGGACTGCTTCCCATTTGCCTGGAGCTTCGTGGTCGGCTGTGAGCTTTAGAATCAGACACGTGTGCATTCGTATTACCCTTCTGCCAACTGGCTCGGTGACTCTGGGCAAGTTACTTAAGTTCTCTGTGCCCCAGTTTCCTTATCTGGAAAAATGGTGCAGAAATAACAGCGGTGCCGTGAGGATTAACTATGTGAGCTGGGGAGAGGTCAGGGGACCGAAGGAAGGAGGTGGGGGGGGGGCAGGATCTGTCAGGAGAGCAGGTGCAGGGAGGGTGACATGCATGGGAACAATGATGAAGGTTTTTTTTTTTCCGTAAGAAAATTTTTTTTAACGTTTATTTATTTTTTTTAATTAATTTTTTTTCAACGTTTATTTATTTTTGGGACAGAGAGAGACAGAGCATGAACGGGCGAGGGCAGAGAGAGAGGGAGACACAGAATCGGAAACAGGCTCCAGGCTCTGAGCCATCAGCCCATAGCCGGACGCGGGGCTCGAACTCACGGACCGCGAGATCGTGACCTGGCTGAAGTCGGACGCTTAACCGACTGCGCCACCCAGGCGCCCCTTAACGTTCATTTTTGACACAGAGAAAGAAAGCGAGCAGGGTAGGGGAAGAGAGAGAGGGAGACACAGAATCTGAAGCAGGCTTCAGGATCTGAACTGCCAGCACCGAGCCCGACGTAGGGCTCGAACCCACAGACCGTGAGATCAGGACCTGAGCCAAAGTGAGATCATGACCCGAGCCGAAGTCGGACACTTAACTGACTGAGCCACCCAGGCGCCCCAAGGATTTCTTATCGGGGAGACACAGCTAAAGGGACAGATGCTTCTCCTTCTGGGTGTGTGTGTTTGTATTCGATCTGCGGATATTTTGGCTTATAGACGGGCAACACTCTCTGGTTTCCTTCTCCGACAGCACCCATTACCCGTGGGCCATAAAATACATTGTCTGGAAATCAAACATGGTTATTTTTCCCTGCCAAACAGGAAGGATAGTCAAATGCAAAATTGAACATTAAGCCACTGGGAGTCATCAAATTAAACACGGAAATGCCAGGATGCGGGAAGCCTTGTGGGGTCTATGGCAAAGTCAACTGGTCCACATAACACTCACCATGCAACCAAGTACCCATCCAATAGCCCGCCTGAGGTGCAGAAAATTTATACTCTCACGACTGATTTAATTTGACCGCAATTTTGACTGAAATTTGTTGGTACCCAGAGAATCTGTGTGTAATGCTTCATAGCTACAGGTCCCCGGGTACTGCCTTATTTAGTCCTTACAACAGCCCCGAGGGCGGAAAGTTCACCTCGATTACATCTCTGATGTCAGGCCGTCCAGATGAGGCTTCTAGAGAGGTCATAAAGCCTCACCTCTCAGACCACCCAGCGGGGGAGGAACCCACATCAGCACCCCCCAAGCTTGGCCTTCTTGCCAATACCTGGTACCTCGCTGGCATGGGATTCAAGCATGTAACTTGCCAACTCCCAATGTACTTAACTTTCATACCTTATCTGACACTTTCCTAGACAAATTACTCAGACCACAAAAACATGCTGCCATCTGTCCCAGACAGATCGACCTATCGACTACTGATAAGCAATCTCATTGAGGCTGCTGGAAATCAGGAGTATGTTTATAAACCCTGGGGTTTATTCTCTCTGCCGGGCTCACCTGTGTATCGGAATCCATGAATGAAGCCCCCGGCCGATTTCCGGTAATCCACCGAGTGGCTGGCGGTACCCAGGACAAAGAGACCCCGGCTTCCTTTGGACTCATAGCTAGCTTTCACCAGCGGGTACTTCTTGCTGAACTCACCCCCAGAAGACAGTCGGAGGGACCTGTGAGCGGAAAGTGTGGTTAACAGAAATCACTGCTGTGTATGAAACACGTATGCTGCGCTCAGCCCTGCGCGAAGTCTAAGTGCTTTATATCCCTTGTTGCATTTAAACCACACCATGACCTTGGAAGGTGGGCATGATTATCTCTACTTAACAGACGAGGACAACTGAGGCTCAGGTTGAAGTTGTGGCGGGTCAGGGATGGGGCCAGGATTCAAGCCTGACTGGAGGCTTAGGCTCTGGGCTCTGACTTAATGGGATGGCAGTCTGGTTGAGGCCTTCTAGCTTCTCCTTGTCCGCCCGTGCTCTGGCCAGAGAAAAGTGAGACACTGGACGGATTCTTTAATACCAAACCTTGCCAAGGTACTGGGGCAGCGATGTCTAAAGCAAGGTAGTTCACAATCGTAAGTGACGTTGGCAGCCACCATTTTGTTAAGCATAGAATATGTGCCGAGTACTTTCTGGATTAATCCTCACAGTGGCCCTGTGAGAAAATATGATCCTCGTTTTAGTGATGAAGAGACCAGATGCAGCACGGTTAAGTAACTGTCCCAGAGCCCGCAGATTTGCCAAGTGGAGAATCTCAGACCGACACCAGTGCCTGCGTCCTTAGCCACCTTGCAGCAAATTCACCATTTTATTCTGCCTCGGCTCATCTTCCCCTCTCTCCGGTGGAAGATCACAACGCAGACAAAGACCCGCCGTTGCTGCTGCTACCCGGTGGAGGGCCTCAGGGCCTTCGGTCCCTGTGAGGACAGACAGCTCATGTCCTGGGTGGGAGATGAGGCAGCAGCTACATCCACTGTGACGACGCAGTCCTGAAAGCCATCGCTGGCCCACTGGATGGTGACTGCCCCCCCCCCCCCGCAGGAGAGATATCAGAAGGGATTTGCTAAGTGATCCCAGCTCCTCCCCCATTTGGACTCACTTGTCGAAAATGGAGAAGTCGAAGTTCCAGCCCAGGCAGCGGATGACCCGGTCGTAGGCCACGCGCATGGCGAAGTTGTCATTGTCGTCCTGGGGGAGGGTGATGGCGTCGGCGCTCTGGTTGCCTTCCTCCAGGAAGAACTTCAGGGTGACGCGGAACTTGCCCTCACGGTCCTTCACGATGGCCAGATCCGTCAGGTCGGACTCCAGCAACCCGTCCAAGGACTTCAGCTGGTAGGTGTCCAGCAGGCCGTTGTTGATGGCCCTGGGGCCCAAGGGAAATGCCAAGAGAGAGAAAGGAGTCCGCACGGGGGACAAGGAGGCTCAGAGGAAGGGGTGGTTGGTCCGGTGGGGTCAGGAAGGGCTTTCGATCCACAAGCAGCCGCGCAGCATACCTGAGGTCTCCAACATAGTGGGTGGCCCAGGACAGCCGGACGCGGGAGCGACTCAGCATGTGGATGAAGTTGGTGACACCCAAGATGTTCTCTGCTGTCTCAAAGGCAGAGTTCCCCCGCCCCAGGATCAGCACATTCTGACCCTCGAAGTCCTTGGGGTCCACGGACACAGACTCGTATCCCTCCGTGTATTCGGAGCCCGGGAAGTCAACCTGGTTGGGGACCGACAAACCGGTGGCTACCAGAAGGACGCTGCAGGGAGGGGACAGAGGGAAGATGGCTTAGTCTCTCAGCCGTGAGACTACTACGTGACAAGCATTCCTTGGATTAGCTGCCTGGCTCGCCCACCTCGCGCAGGCTGCTGGCTCCTGAAAGAACACAGGAGAACGTCCATTCCTTCATCCATTTAGGGACCCACCCCCGAGTATCAGAGACGTGACCCCCACCCTCGCTGAGCCCACCCTAGCGGACAGTCTCCTTTCCATGTTCCTGGGATGATCCCAGACATGAGAATCAACCTGACTCCCTGAGGTGACACGTGAGAAATAGAATCGTTCACCTAATTTTGGACACAGCCGTTAGGGCCACTGTCACCCTCAGGGGTGCAAGGGTCCAAGCTGGCACTACCCTTCTTTCCCCGGGGCTGTAACAAGCAAGGAGCAAGGCTGGGCCTCCGGCAAAAGGCATGAGAATTTGAACTCTGGGCACCTGCCTGGAGCCGGGTGCCAGGCTAATGGCCAGGAAGGGAGGGGGCAGTCTGGTACAGCAGAAAGAACACAGGTTTTGGGGTCAGGAAGACACAGTCTGGGTCAGACTGCAGCTGGATCGCTGATAAACTGTGTGACACAGCGCCGGTTAATCAACTTCTCTGGGCCTCAATTCTTCATCTGTAAAACTGGGACCAGAGAACTCCCGGCCAGGGTCCTCGCGGGGATTAAATAAGGGCAGTGCGGTGCGTGACCCCGAGTTTGGGCTGTCTACACAATATCGGGCTTTGTCCCAAGCCAAAGCCAGCCAACACCGCATGCTGGTGGCACTGCCCGTTGGACCTCTCACTCTTGTTCAGTCCTGAAATCCCACCGAGCCCATCCAACACTTGCTGGATGTTTTTCCCACAATGTATTTTGGGGAACACCAGTTCTAGGAGATGCTCTGCCCAAAGAGCTTTGTGGGTACGTATGTTTAGGCAATGCTGAATGCCCAGTGCCAGAGTGCTACAGAGAACACGAAGGTCTGAAACACTGACAAATCCTGCAGGAAAGAGCTGGTAAGTATCTTCCACGCACATTTGATCGTAAGTTTTTTGGACACATTTGGGCAACGTTGGGTGAGCTGAACCTCTTAGCACGGGATTTCAGTGGGAGCAAGGAGTGGCAGAAATGCGCATATTCTCTCATCTCTTCCAAACCCACCCGCCAACCAAGGGGTGGCAGCAGATCGGCTCCGGGGCCAGGTTCCTTACCTGCACCGGTGTGCGTGGCCCATCTGGTCGGTCAGGATGAAGTAATGGCCGTTCCAGGCCTGCCGATCCTTGTTCAGAGTGACGTGGGCAATGGTCGTGTTGTACAGCACGTGGAGCCGCAGCCCGTCTGCGAAGTCATCCAGGTAGCGCACCATGTCGCCCGCATCGGGGAAGTAGGCGCTGGAGTAGTGTCTGAAGAGCAGCCGGGGGTCGTGGCTGAGCAGAGAGTTCCAGTCGTGGCGGAGGTTGAACTCGGCGTTGGCCTTGCCCGTGTGCCGCTTGTTGATGCTGATGAGCTTGCGGTGGCGTGGGTAGCGCGTGAAGAAGCTGCCGGGCCGCGGGGCGCGCTCAAACACCGCGTAGTCCCTCCCGGCCCGCTGCAGGAAGTAGGCCATCTGCAGGCCCGCGGGCCCGGCGCCCAGGACGCAGTAGTCCCGGTGCGGGGGCCCCGAGGTCGGGGCTGGGCGCAAGCACAGAGCCGGGTGCAGGGCGAAGGTCAGGAGCAGCCCGGGCGGGCCCCACAGCCCGGCCGCGGCCAAGAGGCTCATCCTGTGGCAGACCAGGGATGTGGGGCCTTGCACCCTGGTTGGTCCCTCCAGGACCGGGGAGATGGGCGAAGGGCTGGGGACCGAGAGAGGGGCAGGGGCTCGCCCACCGCAATCTGAAGTCGGGCCAGGACCACACCCCAAGGCCCTCTGAGCTCATTTGCCTGCCTTCATCCTTTCAAGCTCGAATCTGGGGCTCCCCCCAGGCATCCCTAACGCCTCCATCTCCTCCAGGGCCTCGGTTCCCAGGGGCGCCACCCTCTTTCTTATTGCCATAGTAGTACGAGGGCGGGTGTTCCCCCACTCCTCCCCTAATTTGAGGGTGCCTAGCACCCTTCCCCGGCCCTCCCCAGCTGAGACCCTCGAGGTACCCACGCCCCCGTCCTCAGGTCCTGGACCGGAGGAGGTGTGGCCTGCACGAGCCCCGCCCCCTCCAGGTGCTGGGCGCGCCGGGCACCCCGGTCACGTGACAGGGATGCCCCAGAACACCTGTCGCCACGCGGCGCTAGGCCTCAGTCCTGCCGGCGCGGGCTCCCCGGGGGCCGCTCCCCACGCGTGCGCGGTGCCCACGTCTGCAGCACCCACTTCCCTGCACGGAGCGCGAACGTCCCAGCCGCACGGGAGGCAGCCCGCAGTCGACTGGGGCCGCGCTCTGCCCGCGGGCGCCTCGGCGGCCCCGCCCCTCCCGCCCGGCCAATGGCAGAGGGCGGGGGTCACGTGCGCGGCGCGCAGCACGCCGGGACGGGCGGGGGGGCCGCGGGCTCCCGGCGGCGCGGGACGGGCGCGCACGTGCTGCCAGCGGGCTGGAGCCGCCTGAGGCTGGTGGCGCTGGGGATCGCGGCGCTCTTGGGGCGCCGGGCTCTCGTTTTAAAGCTGTACGTCTCCACGTGTAGGTGAGGCGCAGGGGCAGGTGACTTTTGGAGATAAACCCAGTTCTTACACTCTGCTATTAACGTCGCCAAAGACTTGTTGGCTACCCAGTTTGGGGAGTCTGGAAGCCAGGTTAGTGAAGTCAGGACAGAAAAAAGAAATTAACAGGTGTTTGCTACAGGGATTTAGCCTGTTGTTTGCAAAGTAACATCCGTGATTGGCTGACTGCCCCACCGACCCGGAGAAGCAGGCGATTCTGTTTCCTACATTGTGTAGCCACTGGCCAAAATGGAAGTTTAGGAGCGATTTGCTTGAGACCACCCAGTTCGGTGGAACCTGGAATTCACCCCTCCCCTTTTACTCCAAATTATGAGCTCTTTCCAAAAAGTTTCTAATTCATGAGTCATGTGTTGTGTTCTTGGTAATGTTGTAAACAAAGGGGCCTGTGATAGGCCAGTATAGACGCAAATCCACTGCTAATTCACTGCAACTGGGTGTGGCTGAAGCACGCAACGCGGATGGCCGATGATGGAGAACCGCTTTTCGGGTGAACTGGCCGATGGAGGTTGGCTTTGCTGAGGTGGAATGTGGATCCTGCATTAGATTTACAGGGCAGAACATAGGCAGTTTTGAGAATACAGAAACCTTCGAGGGGGCGTTAAGCAGTTCGGTGAGACGGGGTCAATAGTGCTCCTGGTTAGGGCAGCCATGCCTAGTGTGGAAAGAACTCTGCGGTCTAGCTTCGCATGCCTGGAGCCTCTAGTTAAAAATTGACCCTGGGTCCTCTAGAGCTAAAGTCTCCCTTGATCTCTCAGAACAACGTACCCACTAAGGAATGCCACTCATCTATTTATAGGTTGTATCCACATCAGAGAAAAGTTCCATAGAGCAGAAATGATCTTATTCACTCTGGTGACCTCAGTGCTTTCTCCAGTATCTGGCAAGCAGGGAGCCATCAGTAAGCATTTGTGGACTAAACACCAAAACCAGATGGGCTATGCCAAGTACCTAACCAAAACTAAGGTAGGAAGGTCTGCTTCTTACTGGTTGTGAAGACTTGAGAATATGTGCTGGCAAGTAACGAAGTACCTGAAATAGTTACTGGTCTTATTTGGGGAGTGGTGGGAAATCTGGCCTGATAAAGCAGGGCAGGGCCTTGAGAGTAGGCTGACCCTGAATTACAGGCAGCAGTGGAAGGTTTTGGAGTCAGGACTGACGCAGTGCAGCTTGATGGCCCCAAGCGGGATGGACAGAGGTAGGGGATAGAGAAAATAAATGAAGCGTGTGGAAGCCGGTGTCAAGGTTTCAGAGACCAGGGCTGGAACTAACTTCCACCTGCCCCCCTCCCCCAGTGAATCCCGCTGGACCGCATCATGGGGCTGCAAGAGGCAGTTTGGGGGAGTACCAGGCCCAGGTCTGAAGGCCCATGGCGCTTGTCACACCACTTTTAACAATCTATTTCACAGACTCCCCGGGAAGCATGTTTCATGCACTAGCTAGCGTGAACAGGAATAAACGTTTCATTGCCTTTTGAGGCTCAATTACTTTGGTTAAATGGTAACTTCAGGAAAGTTACTCAAAAGCTGAGCCTGTTTCCTCATCAGTACACTGATGTCACTTCGACCAGCATTACATTTGGGCTCAGGCTCAGATGATGTATTTATAGAAAGCTTAGTATACCCGGCAAGGTAATTACTTCCTAGTGTCCAGAACACTATTCATTTATAAAAACTTTACAGGGATGCCCGGGTGGCTCAGTTGGCTAAGCGTCTGACTCCTGACTCGTCATTTCAGCTCAGGTCATTGTCCGTGGGACTGAGCCCTGTGTCGGGCTCTGCACTGACAGGGCAGAACCTGCTTGGGATTCTCTGTCCCTCCCCAGCTCGCATGCTCTTGCTGTCAAAATAGACATTAAAAAAAAAAAAAAGTCTGCATACCCTAAGCACCTGTGGCAGATTTATGACACATTGTTTTGAGGGTGCCGGCTTGAGACTGTCACCTGCCCGAACCAAACTTCAAAATAACTTACAAACCATTGAGCATCACCCACTGGAACATCCATCAGAGTCTTGTGGGGCAGTCTTCTAAAAAAGCAGCACACCCACCTCGACCTTCCAAGACCGTGCCCTGCTTTACCTTTCACTAGGGAGTTATGTCTCCCAGGGGCAAGAGACGGGTCTGGTGCACAGCCAGCAGGCACCCACGTCTGTGGAAATGGACCTCCTATGGGGACCTCCAGGAGGCCCTCACAACTGATGACACTCCCCAGCAACGGTTTGTTGTCAGGGGGGTCCGGGAATGAAAATACCTAGGGCGCTCACCCTTTAACAGCGGTGTGACGTGAATAACTCTCAAGAACAAATGAAGGAGCCGTGATTATGAACTCCAGGTAGAAAACTGCTGTATCTCACCTCCCTCTTCCAAAGGCTATGGGGGGGGGGAAGGGCTGCCGGTCACAATGTCAGCACGTGATGAAGGTAAGAGACTGAACAGTTACACTTTATTCTCCCTGTTCAACTCCAGAGAGCAAGCAAGCAAACAAGCATCCTGCTAGGCCTTGGATGCCCTTCTAGGCTCAGTGGGACAAATTCCAGCTCCGCGTCACCGTCTGGTTTAAGTTTCTTCCTCTGAAAGACACAAAAAGGTTAGAGAAATGAGCCGTGCCGTATGGTGAGCTGCTTAGGATTGTCACCACCTCCACTCCGAAGCCTTTCGGTTCCTCGTGGGGCCAACGCGTTTCTGGTGAAGCAGGGAGAGGCGGCTCTGGGCCCACGTGACTAGCCCAGAGCCCATCTCTCCTCCCCAGACCCCTGGGATCTAAAGGCTCCTGAAAGCAGCTCCCGGTGCCAGACTGGAGGCTGCCCCAAAGTCCGGTCTCGGAACCGTCAGCAAGTTTTACATCAAGGCTACAGAGAGAGATTGGTGGCCACGAGGCTCGGGCCCTAGCCAGCCTACAGCTCACTCCAGGCTTCAGAACGAGGCCTGCCACACACCTTCCTCCTCCTCCTCCTCCTCCTCCTCTTCCTCCTCGTCCTCATCAGAGCTGAACGTGCCGTCGGGCAGGCTGTAGACGCGGATGACCTGCTTGTTGGGGTCCTTCAGGATGAGGTACTTGCCCTCCTCCAGCTTCATGCAGATGTCGATGACACAGCGCAGGATGCCCCAGGCGTTCTCGACGCTCAGGTTGATCTGGCTGGCAAACTCATTGGGCTTGAACTGCTGGGTGCCCAAGATGACGTGGCGTGAGGAGTCTTTCACGTGGTACCGGGACACGTAACTAGCGGGGTGGGGGGGGGGAAGGGGTGTTAGTGCCGTGGGGGCGGGGCCGCACTGAGAGACGGCAATGCCTGGGGCCACATGCAGGTTCTTCCCAAGGGAGGGGGAAAGGCAAGCACGGGTCTCTCCGCGCACCCCTCCTCTCGGCAGAAGACTTCACGGCCCCCAGACGGGAGTCTCACCCAAGCTTGAGATACTCCGACCCGGCCAGTAAGGCGCAGCAGGTCCATCGGGCCAACTTGTAGCTGTTGTTCTTTAGCTCGGTGGCAATGACAGCCCCTCGCTGGGAGTCCAGCTTCTGACGCCAGTCTACGCCGTTACAGTGCTGCAGGAGGAGAGCCCGGGCATAAGAACGAGGGTGGGCTCCTACCGCCCAAGGCCCGGAACCTCCTCCGGCCGAGAAGGGACTCCCCGGGGGGCTTGACTTGCAAGTGGGGGAGTCTGCACATAAATCACAGGTAGGACTGTCATCACCGTAAAGGCAGAGACGTGCCACCCGGCAGACGGCAACTCCTCTCTCCACAGAGCTTGTCTAGACAAGGACACAACGCACGCACAAGCCGACCGAGTGCCAGATGAATGGCGGGGACAAGGGTTCACCGTGCGTTGTGTGGTAAGGGAGGGCTTCGTGGGGGGGAACGGGCTAGCTGACCAAGGGGAGGCCAGTGACAGAGGCTGGGCGAGGCATGACCAGAGAGGCACAGGGGGAAAGACAGGCCGGGTCAGCCCCGGGTGGGGGCGGAGGCTGCAGAGGGGGAGGAGGTCGGTCTGGCCTTGTGGATATACATGTGCCCACGAAGGAGGGACCATCTTCCCCAGCCACCTCTTTCTGAGATGTGGGAACTCGAGACCCAGAGGGAAGTGACTGCTGGAAGTTCGCGTGGCACAACGTGCTCAGCCTGTCTTGGTTCATGGCAACCACAGGCGAAAAAAAAACACAACTACTAGAGTTCAAGTAGTTAGACCAAAACCATTCAGGAGCAGTATTTGGACAGATGTGTTTTTCAAAATTACCCTTGTGAGTTTGCTCTGGCATTTGAAGGGCCTCTCCACAAATCTGTGCCGCTCGACGGAATTAATGGCAGAGATCAACTGGGTGGGGTGGGATGGAGGGCACGAGGGTCAGTTAGGAGACAGGTCAATGCACAGTAACAGGCATAATCAACAGCGTCGGAAACTAGGGTGACCGAAGAGTCTGTGTGGGGGAGGAGGACGCGGCGGGGACCATTCGAGGCTGAGCCTAAGGGAGGAGGAGAGACCCAAAGCTGGTACACAGCCGAGGCAGAGATGTGAGGAATCACTGTTCAGAGTTCAAGGCTGAGGCCTGGGGTAGGCCGAGTTCTACGGTGGCCCCCTATGGCGCCTACACGAGTGCGGGTGGAGGCTGTATGGATGAGGAAACCCTGCTCCGTGCTTACGCTCCCTTCTACGTCAGGGATTCTGCACGCGTAATTAAGGTCCCTTAAGGAGACTATGGGTGGGCCTCACCTAACCCCGAATCTCTTAAATCTGGGCAT